GATCGTCCCAAGAGGGTCTTGGTCTTCTTCGGTCGATTGCGACGAGGACGGTTTTTCCATCGACGCGATTCTGTGAGCAGTCGCCACTGCGTTGATATACCCAGAAAGGATGTTAATGAGTCGTACCAAAAGGTCCGACGTTTCAATATACAATAACTTCTCCTTTTCAAATACATTGGAGGACAGTGTAATGGGTTTACCGACCAAGTCGAGTGGTGTTGGGGAGACCTGAGTCTTCCCAATGTTTTGGTCTTGTGTGGATGGTTTCACTTTTGCGATAGTTCCCGCAAGAACAATTAACTCGGAAGTTAATGCTTGAACAGCCAGTGCGTTATCATAGAACTTCTTTTCGACTTGACCGGCCTTGATTTGTGTTCCTTTACCCGAGAAGGCAGCGACCATAGCTTGATCGACAACGGGTTCCAAACTTGTCTTCGTCACAATACTTTTGGATTTTTCAAGTAAGTTGACAAAAGGTACAATTTCCTTTGGATAAACATCGTTGTCTTTCATAGTGATTGGTTCGTCTATCGCCGCTTTGGCTAAATCAAACAACTTAATGACTTCTTGTCGGAGTGTCTCGCAACGAGTGTAAAATTCTGTTGAAAACGATTTGTCGTCTTTGTTGACAAGGACGAGTGATCCGAAGCATAAAGCGTCTTCACTGCAAGCTGCGATAGCTGCGGCTTGTTCACTCATTTCCAAAATAGTCTTTTCGAAGTGAATGATAGCAGTCTCTTCAACATCTCTCATAGTGATATCTCCCGGGACAATTTTCGAAGTTACTCTGAACGCGGTGGATGTTTTTCTCAGATGAATTGACTCGTAGTTTGTGGTCTTCAGAAGCTCTGCAGTCGACATCTTTGGCGACAATGAGTCGCCGTCGAACTCTTCGTGGAACTCGTTCAAGACAGAGGCGATTTGGTCAATGACGTCTTCAGTGGGAATGTTTTCGTTGTTCTTTAAAATGTTTTCGATTTTCTCTGCATGACGAGCTATTTCAAGTTTCTTTCTTTTTTCAAAGTCTGCGGAGTAATCAGTAATTGGGAGGGTTTCATGTGCTTTTTCTCTCAGTTTTATAACAGCAGTCTTCGACCGCTCTCTCCGGACAGAAAGCTTGAATGAACCTTTCAAGTCTTGTGGTTTCAAAGATGATGAGATCGACTCTTTGTCAATTGCCTTCCGTTCCTCGTCTTCGACTTGTGCTTGCATCTCATTAATTTCTTTCTGCAGATCCCTCAGTTCCTCGTCTTCTTTTTGAAGTTGTGCTTTGTCGACTGATGATATCTGAAGTGCATCAATCCTTTTCTGGACCGCTGACTTCTGCGCCATCACGTCAATCAATTTGTTTGTGTTCGACGCAATTTGTTTCTCAAGGACCTTCAGTTGCTCTTCCATCCTTTTTGAAATGGTATGAATCTTTTTCCTTTTTTCTCCCCAAAAAATTT